GGGCAGCTCTGTAGGAGCTAAACCCCAAATTAAGACCTGCGTGGTACCCAAGAATTGGCAGGTGTCTGGTGAGCAGGGCACATCCAAGGCAGGAAAAACAGGGTATTTCAGGCCACAGGCTCACCGCCTGCCAGGGACAGGCGTGCTTAGTACACTTGGGATTCTGGGCGTCATAGGTGGCCACTCTCCTAAGTCCTCTCTCCCAGGTCAAATGGGTAAGGCTGGTTTCACTAGGGAGTGTGGGCCACTGCTTCGCAGACATTCCATCTCACTGGCCTTGCAAACGTTGCTTCAGTGTGGCTCTCAGACCTCCCTGTGGATTCTAACTTCTTGTTTTACTGCTCTTCCGTCTATAAACAGGAGCCTGGATGGAGAGAATTACAGCCTGTCCATTTGCCAAAGTAACATGCCATTTTCTCTTTTACTGCATGTGTCCTCCCTTACCTGCCCATCTGTTGTAAACATATATATATATTTTTTTAATAGAAACTGCCCTCTTGTCCCTTGTGAGTGGCTTTTAGGGAGTTCTGTGGCCAACCAATCCACAACAGATACCACCTGCTACAGCCTTGAAAGGTGTTTCCGTTGCTGGTTACAAATGTGCCTTCAGTGCTTTGTTTTAGTGCTACTTAAATCGGTAGGCTTTCACCTGCTACCTGAAGTCCAAGTGGACACAGTTTTGTAGTACAGGGCACAAGAAGTCTGGGGGGAGGGAGAGTCACTGACAGAGGAAGGAGTAGAAAGGCAGCGTCACAAGATTGACTCACATGGGAAGAGCCGGAGTAGAAGCGACAAGCACAGCCACTGACCCAGCTGTAGAAACCAAGATCCTCAGGCGCCAAGGCCCAGGTCACAAAGCCTAAGATCCAAGCAGGTAGCAGCGGTGTCTATCACAGGCCCAAAAGGTGAAAGGTAAAGATGTGGAGATGGAGCCCATTGTGGGGTCTCCTGTTCCCTTCAGATTCTATTCAAAATCCACAAATCCAGGCTCATAAAGTGAGCCCCTCCCAAAGGGAAGCCGTCTGTATCACGGCAGTCTCCGTGTCACATAAATGAACCCGCACATCTTTGGGTAAATCCGAACCCTATTTGTTTTTTAAAGATTTATTTATTAGTGCATACAGAACTGGGGTACAGGCCAGAGGCTCAGGGGCAGTGAGGGGCCCCACCAGAGACAGAGTGGGGAGCAGAACAGGCAGATAGATGAAGTACACTGCTGAGGGGAGCAGCGGGCGGGTCAGGAGAGGTCTGCCGCACCATGTGGTCACCTCCGGGGCAGGAGGGGATCGAACTCATGTGGAAGTGGCTTTTAGATTCTCAGTACTGTGCTTTAACCCGCTGCGCCACCAGGGAGGGCCCGAACCCTGTTTTTAAGGGGTATTCTTTGTACAACCACATCAACAAACCCTGGGCTCTCCATCAGACTGAAGGGTAGGCTTGCCCTGGCTGACTGCCTCAATAGAAACACTGGCGTCACCCAATTAACGGCACTGTGCTGAGACTGACCTGGAGACGGGGTCGCTTTCCTTCTGGTCGAAAGCCGCCTGTCATGTTTCTTCTTCCACAAGAACAACAGCAATCCAACCGCACCACCACTAGGCGCCGTTTGAATTTTGTGTAGTTCTTCAGTCCTATAACAATATCTGTCTTGCAACCATCCCAGGCCAGGAAGCTTCACCACTGGTTCTCACAGTTTAAAAGAGTCATCTGCACAGGTTTTTAATTTAGCGCGGGAAACGGGCCAGCCTGGAGACCGCCACTCACCCTCCCACGCAGGGCGGCTCCGCCATCTTAGCCACTCCAGGCTGAGCGCAGGTGCACACAATTGCGCGTGCACACACACCACCCTCAGGCTTGTGTGGCCCATCCACACGCCTTCTGCGTCCATATGATCAAGGTCACAAGAAGCTAGTGGCTTAAGAGGCCTGACCATCTCGCTTACCCTACAGCACCCCTCATTAATATGTACTCAACATACTGCCCTGGTGTCATTTAAAAGAAGAAAAGACCCTGTTGAGTGCCCTTAGGCTTGTATTTCACACAGGAAAACAGGCTCAGCAGACACCTGCATAGGGTGATGCCTTGGATCAAGAAGAGGCTTAATGAAGCAAAGGCTCAGCCCTGGGGCGGATTCACATAGGTTCACCTCCAGGTCTCCTCTGAGTAGTTTGGATGGCTGCTGCAGTAACTATGTGTTTTGTTCCAACTTCTGTGACCCGCAGCAAGAAAGAAAGGTGGGAGGCAGAAAGGCTGAGCAAGCAGTTTATTGCTCCCGGACAGCAGCTGAGACAGAGCCCATAGAGTGGGGTCCGCAGCTACTGCCACCCCTATAGGGGGGAAGGGTGTCTTATATAGACTTGAAACTCGAATTCCAAAGGGGTGACTCATTGCTATGTCCCTTGATGTAAGGCCCAGTTATCACCTTTATCTAGTACCATTGAGAATGCAAGACCCCGTTAATTGGATGCAAGGCCCAATTTATTACCACCTTATCACCTTTGGATGCAAGGCCTGATTTATTACTGCCCTTATCCAGTCTCTCAGTAAATCTCCACATTTGGTCACTCCCAACACTATGTATTTTGATTCCAACGATTTTGAATATGGAAGGTACAGAGAACAGAGAGGGAGGAAGTGTCTACTCAGGCAACATTCCTAAAAGAATGAGTTAGGAATAAGAATGACTTTCACTTTATGATTTATCATTCTTTAAAGGTATTTTATACGTGTGTAAAAGACTTAATTTTTCTTCTGATTTAATTTGCTCTCTGCTCTTGTACTTTTAATGAAGATTACAACTAAAAGTATGTACAAATTTTCTTTATAACTCTTAACTATTATCATATGAAATTAGGTGTTTTAAGTAGAACATGATTAATTTTATTCATTTTTCTCATTATGTACCTTGGTTTATTCATTTATTCATTATTCATGTCAGTGGCTTTTATTATGATAGTTAGCCAAACTCTGACTCGATATCATTAAAACTTTCAGATATAAATAAACTTGTTCCTAAAAACAGGAAAATAAAATCAATTCATTAAATACAGATTCTCCAAAATTATTTAATTCTTCATGTTATATTTTAAGTCTTATAAATGTATTCATTAAATAAAAATTAATATTTCAACTCTTTCAGTTTTGCCTGCATTAACTTTCAAAATTTATAATCCTATTTTAATGTTTCAATTTAGTTTTGCTCCACTCTAACACAGGTAAAAGACCTAAATTATTTTTTGAAACTTAATTTTTGGGTCACAAAACCCTGAACCTCCACTAGTTCTTTATTCTTCACATTTCTGTAGCCTTAAACTTCACAGATATTTTTTCCATCATAATAATAAATTTCATTAGAACTGAAGGCTTATGAAAATTTAACTGACTCCTTCCTTCCAAAAAATATTGAAAAGTGTAGGTCATTATTAAAGCACTATGAGGATCATAGACTTAGAAAGCAAATGTCCTTATAATTCTTCCTTTTCTTCAGTTGAAATGTCTTATTCAAAATATTACCAAGCAAATGATGCTGACATCTGTCGACAAAACACTCATTTCACACAATTGACACTTTAAACACGTGCAAGTTTAGGTCCTAAGCAGAGGTGGAGTAATGTCAGGTGCAGCTCAAAGAGCTAGTACACAGGTGATGCTCACCATGGCTAAAGCCCACACAGCTCATACAATTGCTGCATTGTCCATTTTCCCTCCATGGAAACTCCGGATATTTCTAAAGATAAAAAGGGAAAGTGCCACTTTTGAACAGCGCTATTAGTGAATAGAGGACATGTCAAAGTCATGGAAGCCATTCTAATCTAGAAGATGGTTAACTCATAGATGTGTGATATCACATTAGGCCTAACGTGATCATCTTAATTCTCTTTACCATTAGTAATGATGCTGTGAGGCCCTGAGGATAAACGCTGAGCACATTATACTGGAAAGGAACAAAGCAACTCATTAAAATCATGAATCAACACTCTGAAACAACTAAGTTATGATGGAGCACTCCAGATGCAGGAACTGAAGGCCCCAACACCGGTGAACATGAGTATGTGGTTTGTGCACCAAGACCTTATCAAGTATAAGAGTTCACCTCTCAGCTGACATTCCAATGTATCAACCAATAGCACTCTCAGGGGATGAATTTGATGCAGCCTTCATCCTAACTGGCCTTACTGTTTTTAGCTTTGTATGACAAAAAGGTTACCATTAATGCCCCAGATACATTGTGAACAGTTTTTCTCAAGAGTTTAAACAAAAATTGGGGGGGGGGGAGTAATCGCATGACATTAGCTTCAAAAATTATTGAAATAGTCATTGGCTTGTTTGACTCACACTGCAGAGCCTTTGACTGAACTGCATCAAAAATGGTAGGGCCCATGTGAAAAAAGTTGAACACTCTCCAATAAAGTTCACAGATCAAACCTTAGAAAAGTATGTCAAGCTGGGTATCAGAATGTGAATCCTAAGGGAAAACTGAGGTTCAGGAGAACAATACTTGAGTATTGATGCAAACATTATCATTAGGTTAGGAGATAGGATCTGAAAGAAATGTAAATGAATTCATTGCAAACATTATCATTAGGTTAGGAGATAGGATCTGAAAGAAATGTAAATAAATTCATTGGCTTTATCATTACAGAAGTCATCTTCCCATGTGTTAATGAAAACTTACTAGAGTTAAAAGAGAGCCACACAGTTAACTCTATGTAAGGAGATGATCAAAATGTGGGTAGGCAGGGAGGAGGCAGAGAGGTCAAGAGAACACTAAATACTTCTCTCTACTCGCTGTCACGGCCTCATGACTTTCTCCATCCTGGTAAATACCAGGAAAATGAAGAGATCATAGTAAGGGAGCAAGTATGCTAAAAAAAACAAACAAACAAACAAAAAAAACATGATATTCATGAAAGCACACTCAAGTTCATGAAAATTGTAAAACACTGTACTTCAAAGTTATATGTGAATTTATTTTTTTTCACATGATAATTTTACTGTGATTATATAATATAAAGAAAACATTATTTCAGCCAGGTCCACATAAGATGGCCCTCCAATTCCTTGAACTTTCCCCAGTGCCCATTTAAGCCCATTTCCCAAGACTGAGGACACCACTTCTGAGTGTCTGGCGCCCTGCCCTCACCCAGGGTCTGCACAGAAACTCAGGAGCAGACAGCCCATCCAAACCAGGCACAAGGAACACCCTCACCCAGAGGGGGGAAACTGCAAAGAAGCAGAAAAACTGTGATGGGTTTACATAGCATCCATCTTTACAGTTATTTTTTAAAATAATATTAGTACAAAACCACAAGGCAGAAGACTTAAAATAGACAAGGTGATCAAAACCATTGTGAGACTTCAATCTGATGCTGTCCATAGGATCACATGATTAATTGGAGGAAATCTTAAGTAGGGAAAGCTCAATAATCACTCCATATGCTAATCTGCGTGATTTCCTTCTAACAGGCACAAGGAGGAATCGGTCCACTTTTCCTTCCATTTTTCTGCTCTTGCCATTTTTCCTGAGATGCTTCTGGCAGATGCGTCAATGCGCCATTTTCCACACATGTTCCCTGGAGATCCACAGCATAGTGTCTCCTATGGACTTCAACAGTGAGTCCGCCGGGAAGTGCCTAGACACTCCACTAGGAAAAACATCACTTTCCCAAGACCAAATTCATATTCTTGAAGCCTCAAACTAACATCGACTTGCAGAGGGAAGACATGGAACGGGGCCGCCAAGACAGAACAGGCTATTCCCCGATGACAGCCTAACTGGTTCCATAGACGTTCATTCCAGGCAGCGAAGATGGGATTTTTCACAAGAATGTTCAGCAGCAAATACTTCCTTTGGAAGATGAGAAAAAGAAGGAAAGGCATCTCCCATAGGAAAGGCATGATATTAAATGCTCCAAGTAAGCCCTAATAATGTCCTCAAATAGATCAGATGACTAAAGACATATTTGAAACAAAATCTCTCAAGCAACTGAAAGTGCTTGAAACAGGAAAGATTATTATAAGTAGTAGTAGTCATAATAATAATTGCTAGTTATTCATCTTATTCTACCATTTTTATGATAAGAGATGCTATCTCCATATATCTCAAAATCTTAATAAATATATAGAGTTTGTAGAAAACACAACCCTACTGGAATGTCCCTTATATTCAATTAAAAGGTAAAATGAAAACCTTGGCTGAGATAGCAGCTTTTAAGGCATCAACAACACTTATTACCACCTCTACTATCTTTGGTTACTTTGCTATATTCCAACCCTGAAAAAATAAATGAATTTAGGGCATCATCCTCAGATATACTGTATCTGCAGAGAAACTGCAATATGATTAAGTGTATTAAAAACATCTAGTAGGATTTGTGAACTCTGAGTTATGAACATAATTTGAATTATTATACAGTTAAAAAAGTAAACTTTAGAAAAAGTATTATCAATATAAGATAACCCTTTACATTCAAAACCAGGACTGATTACAGCACAATTTTCAGCTGTCAGTAGAGGGTCAAACGCGACAATGTATTGCCACAGTTTATCTAAATTCACTTCAAAATAGCACATGGAATCAAAACATTGCAAACAATTATTCAGTCTATTGGCTTACAAAGCAGTTATTTTAACAGCTGGAGCCATGAGTAGTCAGATTTAGTGTAATACAGACATATAATAATGATATTTTATGTTCAACAACTTTAATTTTTGCTAAATAACGAAGAATCCCTTTTAAGTTAGTTTTGGCATGGTGCTGGAGGCTCTGTCAAATAATGGGGTGCAAGGCATTGCTCATTTATAGGTTCACACCCCTTGTACTCAGGGTCTTCAAGTAGACATATAGTTAAAACGTAGGCTTGCTCATGTATTCTTCCATCGTCTGAAAGAGAACAAAGCATTAGAACAACTTCCCCTTAAACCAGCTCCTTTGGTAGTTTGAACTCTTATTCTTTTATTAACTCTGTCATTATTGAAAAGTAATTTCAATAGGGTCCTCTCTGGTGGTGCAACAGGTTAAAGCACAGCTCTATGAAGCTCCCCAGCTAGGGAGGTGACCCACATGGCACAGCAGACCTCTCCTGAGAAAATACTAACCAGTATGACTTGTGAATACAGATACTGGGTATGGGTTGGTATTTCCTTGCGCTTGCCACTTTGCAGACAGGGATGGACTTTTCAGGCTGGCCCTGGCTTACAGAGCAGCATCCTGGCTTTTCCCTAGAGCCTTCATCTTGGGACCCTTCTGTGCCCATTTCGCCCTGTAGAGTTAGTTCTCCAAACTGTGACCTTTTACTGCATGATGACTTGACTCAGCTGTTAACATGGTCTGTGCATTCAAGAGTGACAACATTAGGGTATTCTAGCTACTACTCAGGAACCCACACATCACATATGAAGTATCCTTTTGCTTGTGCCAATGAGGTACCATTTATCCCACTCTTCTTACACTGCTGTATTTTCTGGGCAAACACCTGTCTTTCACCCCACTGGTGATCCCAGGGATGGCAAACTCTGCAGTTCATACCCACTAGCATTTCCTTTAAGAGTTTCCTTAGTCTTTTATCCTTCTAATCACTTTGCACCACTGTCTACAGGTCTTAGGTGTTACCCTCAAAATACAGAACCTCAGGAAGTCACACCCTTTCTTATATTACTAGCATCTAGCTTCAGGACAGAGTAAAGTTGAGCTTTTGAGATGTGATGCTATGTCTCTTCTTACTAAATAAGCAGGGACTGTCTTTTTATGCAAAGAAACCTTTTATTAAGTGAGGTCAGAAAAATGTCCCAGGGGCTATTTGAAGCTTTTCATAGTGAAAGCAAATGTCACCAAGGTTGCCCTTCAGTAACTGTAAATACACACTAAGGTCAAAGCAGGGTGTTGGGGGCGGGGAGGGGAGGGAGAAAGACAAATGATTTTCTTTATACAATTATTTGACTGGCTCCTATTCTTTCTATGAACAGACAGAGTTTCTACAGAGCAGAGCAGACACAGTGTATCGACCAGTGCTCACAAGGCCGCTGACTTAGCCAGAAAGCAGGAGGATACTGGTGACATCTCTGCCTGGCAGTGCTGCCATCCAAGGAGAGGACTGGAGGACAGTCCCAGCGTCCTGGCTCACTCTGGGGACACGGGTTACCTGCAGGGCCCTGGCTGCCGGCCCATCCAGTCTTTCCTCTCAATCACCAGGAGCATGAACTGCTAATTAGTGTTTAATTAGGAAAGGGCTCTCCTTGAAAATGACTGTTTCCCAAAGTGAAAAGCACCAGGGACCTGCAAGTGCTTTAACCCGCTATTTCCTACAGAGCGGGATTCAAAATAACCCAAGTGTGACTTGGCCCCTCAAGGAGCTTTCATTATTGAACTATTAAGACCCTATTAAAAACTCTGTATCTCCTATAAGAAGATTCCACAGTAAGCACTCAAGAATAGATCATAAACAACCCCTGGCATATTTTAAGAAAGGTTGTTCTGTGGAATTTCCAAACTACTGACTTCTCAATACCTTGTAAAACTCCCTGTGGCATTGGGTTGAGCCAAGTAAACATCTGGAAGTTAAAAGGCATCTTTTGAGGTGAGAGCCTCTCTACTAATAAACACATCAGCCTCCTAAAGAGGTGAAGACAAATGCCTTTGGGGTCCATTCTGCTCCCTGCAGAACTGACTCCCTAGACAGGTGAAAGCAAGCAGCTCAGAGGTGGACAGAAACAGCTGCTGGAAAGGGCACCTGGTGCTAGCTCTCGAACTTGGTCGCATTTATAAGCAGTGGGAAGCTGGCTTTAAGGCCAGTTTTTAAAAGATACTGTAAAATGCTCTGGAATCATGAAAACACAAAGTTGGGAAGACCCAACGCTGCATGGGAAGAGGTCCTAGAGCTGGCGGCACTGGGCGAGAACCCAGGTCCTCAGATTGCAGGCTGGGTGGGACAGTGCAGCATCTCATCTAGGAAACGGCTCTTTCTCAGCGCCCCTGGAAGGATGAGAGGGGCTCAGGTCGATAAGTTCCCTCATTAGGTACAATGCAAAAATCTGTGCTGCTTGTGGAAACCTCTATATTTTATATAAGTATTACAGAGTCAGGAGCTTAACTAAATGGATGCTTCAGGGCCCATTTATACAGTGGCAAACCAGCCTCTGTGTTCCCAATTTATTTATGCAAATAGAAGCAAACACACAGCCTCCCCAGGAGGTGTAAGAAATTTTAATTAAAATGATAAATGTCATCTTCCGTAATAAAGCTCTAATATCCCTGGCAAATGAAATAATGACATACTGCTATTATCCCTTCCCAGGGCAGCACAGAGATTTTAATGAAAGTCTTTTTATACCTTGCATAAAATTATTCTTGAACATATCAGCATCAAGGATTTCATACCTGTTTGACACTAAGTTATCCTCACTAAGAAGCTCAGCCAAACATGAAGAGCAAAGACTAGAATCCAGTTGCCTGGGTTCAAGTCTACTGTCCATACTTACAAGCTGTGTGAGCAAGTCATTGAACCTCCCTGTGTCTCGGGTTCCTTGTTTTTTAAGAGAAAGTGACAATACTACCTACCTCTCAAGTGGCTGCCATAATCAAATAAGGTAATCATCATTAAATATTAGTACACATAAGTTCATAGATATTGTACCCAATACAGACAAATTACTCAGTATCTAGTCATATATATTTATCATCATCACCACTACCATTACTATCACTATCATTAAAACCACCATCACCATCACCATCAATACCACCGCCATCACTACTGCCACCATCATCACCATCAACACCACCATCACCACCACAACCATCATCACCACCACCACCACCATCATCACCATGACACACACATCATCTCCTTCAGCACCACCATCACTACCACCACCATCATCATCACCATGACCATCACCACCACCACCGCCATCATCACCATCAACACCACCATCATCA